GCCTCTGATGATCATGCGGCTCAGCTGGGATCGTCAGAGGCTTTTAAAAGCATTTTTTTCTACAACCTCTTCGGCCAAAGAGGTCGTAGAAAAAATGTTTTTAAAAACCTCTGCGATCCTAGCTGAGTTGCCTGATCAGCTGAGGCTTTTAAAAGCATTTTTTTACAACCTCTTTGGCCGAAGAGATTGTAGAAAAAATGGTTTTAAAAGTATAAACTTGCAATATGCTAAACATAATACTTTTTGTAATGCAAATAAACCAGGCAGGTGGTTAGCATATACGTTAAGGAAAAAACAAAAATCTCGTACAATAGAAAAAATAGAGTATAAAGGTAAAGAGGTATATCAATAGAATATGATTAAAAAAGCATTTTTAGATTTTTATACGAGGTTATATGCTGGTGATAATATACAAGGTAATGATATAGAGAGATATTTGCAGAAGGAGAATATTCCTGCAATTACTGATGAACAAAGGGAAAGATTGAATGTATTAATAACCACTGAGGAAATTCTTTTGGCAATTAAACAATTAAAAAGTGGAAAGGCTCCTGGCACAGATGGTTTGACAGCAGTGTATTATAAAAATTTTCAATTAGAAATGGTAGAACCTCTTAAGGAGTTATTTGCTAAAATACAATGGAGAGGAGAGGTGCCACCATCCTGGAGAACAGCTTTTATTTCCCTGATTCTGAAAGAAGATCAAAATCATAGTCAACCCAAAAATTACAGACTCATATCATTGCTTAATACAGATTATAAGATCTTTGCAAAAATTTTGGCAAATAGACTAATGTCAGTTATGCAACAAGTGATTCATAAAGATCAAACTGGATTTATACAAGGGAGACAAATGAAAAGTAATGTAAGACAAATTGTTAATATACTGGAGTATTTGGGAAAGAACAACCAAGTCCCTGCAGTGCTTATGTTTTTAGATGCAGAAAAAGCGTTTGATCGATTGAATTGGCAGTTTTTAGTGGAAGTAGCACAAAAGATGCAGTTGGGAGAGCATTTCATACAATCCATTAAGGCAATATACTGTACCAGAAACAAACAGCACAAATAATAGTTAATGGTAGTCTCACAGAAACTTTTAAAATTGAGAAAGGAACAAGACAGGGGTGTCCCTTGTCTCCACTATTGTTTATTTTAACTTTGGAAGTATTGCTGAATAAAATATGGGACTCGGATAACATACAGGGTATTAAGATCAGGCAACATGATTATAAATTACGAGCATTTGCAGATGATTTGGTTGTAACTTTAACCCAACCAGTAAATTCAGTTACAGGTTTGATGGAGATAATTAGGCAATATGGTCAAGTGTCAGGATTTAAAATAAATATAGGGAAAACAAAGATGATAGCTAAGAATATGAATACAAATCAAAAAGAAGAAATGGAAAGAGTAACAGGATGCAAGATAGTGAAAAAGGTTAAGTACTTAGGAATTTTTATTACAACGTCAAATGGGAAATTATACAAGTATAATTATGAATTGTTATGGCATAAAATACAGACAGAGATGGATAAATGGAAAAAATTACAACTGTCTTTGTTGGGAAGAATAGCAGTAGTTAAAATGAATGTTCTGCCCAAGTTTCTATTTCTCTTTCAAATATTACCAATACTTAAAAAGGATGCAAATCTGGAGGAATGGCAGAGAGGCATTAATAACTTTGTTTGGGTAGGGAAGAGACCGATTGTTAAATTAAAAATAATGCAGGATACACGTGAAAGAGGAGGTTTGAAATTGCCCAATTTAAAATTGTACTATGAAGCAGCTGTTTTGTCAGCAATTAGTGACTGGATTAATTTAACAGATGAAAGAATACTGAATATTGAAGGGTATGATTTGCTATATGGTTGGCATGCTTACTTAGTTTATGAGAAGAAGGTGGATAGGACTTTTAAAAGTCACATATTAAGGAATGCCCTCCTGCATGTTTGGAAAAAATACCAATATAAATTGAATGGCAAGATACCCATGTGGGTAGTACCCAGACATGCGATAGAAAATATAAGTATAGAACAAAGACAGGATGTAATTACTTATAAAGAACTTCTGATTACAGAAAGAAATGTACTACAGTTAAAGCCTCTGAATGTACTAAGAGAGGAAAGGGCAATTCAAACCTGGTTTCAATATGTACAGCTGCAGAATAGATGGGAAAAAAATCAGAAAATTGGTATTACACAAAGTGAAGAAAATTTGATAAAACAAATTAGGGACCAGAGTAAAATTGTTATGTATTTTAGTTCTGGCTGTGCACCGCCCTGAGTCCAGTAGGAGAAGGGCGGTATATAAATTGAATAAATAAATAAATAAATAAAATGCACATAAAAAGGTTGTATAATATATTGATAGAAATAGACTTGGAGACAGAGTTAGTTAAAGATAGTATGATAAAATGGGCACAAAATTTTGAGGAACCAATAATAATGGAAACATGGGAAAGGATCTGGGTAAGAAATGTAAAATTTACACAAGCTCAAAATTTGAGAGAAAATTTTTATAAAATGTTTTATAGATGGCATTTGGACCTAAAAAGTTAGCTTGTATGTATCCAAACCTACAACCCAAATGTTGGAGATGTGATTGTGTTGGTGCTACCTATTTTCATGTTTGGTGGACTTGTAAAAAAGTTAAAGCATTTTGGATAAAAATATGGTGGATTATTCAAAATATTTTAAAAAAAAGGATAAAGTTTATTCCACAGTTGTTTTTGTTAGGTATAATTACAGATTGTACGGTTATAGAGACTAATTTGATTCTGAACTTAATAACTGCAGCAAGACTCTTGGTGGCGCAGTACTGAAGAAGGAAGATTTACCTACTATTCAAGAATGGACATTAAAAGTAGTAAATTTAGCAGAAATGGCGAAAATTTCAGCATATCTAAAGGACCATTCAAATGAGAAATATATGTTAGAATGGAGAAGATGGATTGATTATATTCAAGGCAAATATCGGACTAAAAAATTTCAAATAGCTTATGAATGATCAAAGAGATTTTATAAAGTACTTAAATTTAGTTTAGTAAAAGGGGAGTTAAAGGTTCAAGAGGGGGATAGGAGGCCAAAGATAATTAGCTTACATTAGCTTATGATTGTCAAATGTTATACCCTGTATTTTGCTCTGGGAAGTGGGTGGGGGAGGGAGGGGAAGGGAAGGGCTGGAAGGGGAGGAGGGAGGGGGAAGAGGAAATGTCTGTAAAACTTTTTAAAACTTTTCAATAAAAAAAAAGTATAAAAAAAAGTTGGCCACGCTCACCCAGTCACATCCCCCCCCCCCCAAGCCACCCCCACAGAGCCGGTAGTAACAAATTTTACATTTCACCATTGCTATAGATTATCTTTAACTTCACAAAATCAAATTCTGGCAAGATTTTGGTGATCACACCACTTTTCTACTTAGATCCCAAATCATGAGATTTTTTAAAAGTTACTTTCATTTTCATTTTGGAAGATAAATTTATAGTTCTATGGCCCCAATGTTGTCTACTCTTATATAAATTTAGAAAAAATATCAAAGTGGATATAACATGTTTAAAATACAGGAATTTGTAAAAAGAAAAGGGACAGTTACACAATTGTATATAACATTCATAAATGAAAAGAACTTGCTACCAGTGGAGGAAAAGCTCCACTGGACTCAAAAAAATCAAAACTCAAAAAAACTTAAAACCCAGGATTAAGCCAGCTCTTTTTATATTTTTATCATGAATCATAAAAATAATATATATATATATATATATATATATGTAGCTGGATGGAGGGGAATATACACCAAACTTTTATACAAAGATTTCCCAAGGCCCAGGTCACTGTCCTCCTATTTTCAACCTTTCTGAATCTAAACGGCTCTTTTTGAATTCAATTCACACTTCTTACCACAACTGAAGATATCTAAATACTGTTATGTCAGAATATTCATGAACTGGGATAGGCACGGCAACAGATCAGCCATTGGGGACTGGATGGAATAGGACATGGTAACAAGGTTAGCCAATGTACTGTATAGGCATAGCAACTAAGTCAGCCAATGAGGGCTGTTTGGGAGCTGAGACAGCTAGGAGCCTAAGCGTGGTTTAGGCTAAGCTTAACTGCCTTGTATAGAGGAGGTTCTCTTTGTCTATATTAAGCTTTAAGATCTGTGCTGAGAACTAAACAAGTCTGAGCTTGTCTGCTCTGCTGAATTGAAACTAAGAACTGTTCTCTCCTCTGCCTGTAACTTCTACCACGTTGGAATTGGGTATTGGTATTAGCTATTGGTATTGTACATTTCTCTTCATGTGTTATATGTATATAAAGAAGTTAATGAATCCAGTTGAATCAGTTTACCTCTGTGTGCTTTCTGGATTTGATTTTGCAACAAACTCTGACATGTTGTTATGAAGAGCAGATTTACAATCATTAGGACACAAATTCTCATTTATGATTATTTGGGTAATTTTAGAAACATGTTAATCCCATAAAGTCTTCATTGCTATGGTGGCACCATTCTTCTTCTTTGGATTGAAGAAATCAGGTAGTCCTCAATGTATGATAACCACTAGAACCAAAGCTTCTACTGCTAAGCGATATAGGCATCAAATGAGTTGCTCAATCTTACAACTTTTTTTGCCATGGTCATAAGGTGTATCACTAATTAAATGAATCACATGGTCATTAAGCTCCCCCCATCAATCTTGCTTAATCAGAAGTCCCCTGGAAAGGTCACAAATGGTGAGCCCAGAATGTTGCAACTATCATAAATACATGCCAGTTGCCAAGCTGGATATTTTGTTCATGTGCAGATGGAGTGACAGTCATAAGTATGAGGATGCATCATAAACCACTTTTTTCAGCACTGTGGTAACTTTGAACATTCATTCAACAAAAGGTCTTAAAAACTACCTATACATACAATAACCTTTAAGCTGGTAAAAATTAATTAAGTGACAAAAACTATTCAAAGTATGTTTATTATTATTCAATCATTGAGTAAATCTTTACCTGAGATGAAAGCAGATTGCAATCCAAGTGCATTCCTTTCCCTGTTTTATGTCGTTGAAGAAGTGCAGCCATAATTGCTCCATATGCATACAATCCTGTAGCAAGGTCAGTCATAGCTACTCCTGGCCTAACTGGCTCACCACCCTAGAAAAAAAGTATCAGGATGACAAAACTGATGCTACCTCTGTCACTCTCAAAATGTTTTCTTCTTTAAACTGCAAATCAGACAACACTACTTACACCATCCAACTATGAAACTTCTTTAGAAGCGAGCTTCACATTCAATGATATGAGCAATTATATACATATGCTAAATTAATTAATTAATTAATTAAGCTAGCTGTTTAATCATTTCAGTAACTTAAAATAGTTGAAAAAATCTGAAGTGATCTGAATGAATCACTATATTATGAAGGGTAATTCTCAGTATGCATGCACCAGCTGTTGAGATGGTATCTTTGTTTAGATAAACAATAATATCTGCTTAGGGAAAGAAATGCATGCATTATCTGATTATCTGATTCACATTTCAAGATTCCAGAAGCAACCATCAAAGTTACATAATATTCCTTCTCTGGCTGGATATTTGCAGAGAAAAAAAATTGTCTATATTTTTAGTCATTTTAGAATACTCATTCATAAGTTCAGGAAATATTAAGCATGTATTCTCTTCTCTGCCTCTGTTGCATTTAAAAAAGAATATCTATTGCTGCACTCCAGAATTGTTTATCTTCTAGGAACGGGGGAAGAAACCTATGCAAAGAACAATATATTTAAGATTAAGAAGTGCTATGGTGGCGCAGTGGTTTGAATGCAGTATTGCAGGCTACTTTTTTTTTTTTTAATTTGATTTATATGCCACCCTTCTCCGGAGACTCAGGGCGGCTTACAGTGCGTTAAGCAATAGCATTCATACTTTTGTATATTTTTATACAAAGTCAGCTTATTGCCCCCATAAACTGGGTCCTCAATTTACCTACCTTAGAAAGGATGGAAGGCTGAGTCAACCTTGAGCCTGGTGAGATTCGATCTTACTTTAATTGCAGACAGCTGGTGTTAAATTACAGTGCTTAGTCTGCTGAGCTATCCAGGCTTGTACTTCTGCTGACTGCTGATTGCCAGCAATTCGGTTGTTCAATTCTTACTGGTTCAAGGTTGACTTAGCCTTCCTCCATCCTTTCAAGGTTGGTAAAATGGGGATCCAGATTGTTGGATGCAATATGCTGACTCTGTAAACTGTTTAGGGAGGGCTGTAAAGCACTATGAAGTGGTACATAAATCTAAGTGCTACTGCTATTACTATTTATTTGGATTTTTCATTTATTTCATATTCTTTGGATTATCAAATCTGTTACACTATGGATTTATAATAGCTGTTTTTTTTTTAATGTTAGCCAACCCAGAATATCTCAATTCATTGCAGAGGATGCAACTAGACTAGAGATGAGATCACATATTTGGCTCCTTGCTACTTGGGTCTCTATGATATTTGTTTCACTGGAAGGTATTGCAAAGTATAGATATCAGCACAGAAAACCATATTGTCTGGCTTCACCATCCTTCATCAATCACTTTGAGCATTCAACATGATGCTAAATCAGTTCACATGAAAAAATAAGAACCTATTGTATGTGCCACTTGACATGCTGGATCAGAAATAAAAGATAAGGGCTCCAAGACTGATAGAATCTGTCCAAAGATGCCAGGTGTTAACATCAGTCTCCAAGCACAAGTATTATATAAGCTTCAGCACAATTGCAAAAGGTTAGGCTTTCTTGTCATATTCTCAAACTTCGTTAAATTTTATAGTAATGTGCTTGTGAACATATTGATCTGAATAATAATTCAGAAATCATCTGCAATAATGATTTCAGTAGGCTAGAAATAACATTCAAATCACATAGAATACTTTCTTCAATGGGATATTTGCAGGAAAAATCTCTTAAATCATAATTATTTGCTCATATTGGACAGCACATAACAACAAATACAGTTTATAAACCCTATGTCTATAATGAGAAGACGTAAGATAGCAGAATGATGCAAAAAAATAAATAATAAAAAGGCACTGAATATATCTGCATGGTTTCAATCCTGAGAGTCAGTCCCACTGAAAATATGGATTACTTCTATGCAAGCGTATATAAAATTGCAGAGTAAATGAAGCATATTGTTTCAAGGTTCATTAGACATAGAACTATGAGATTAAACTAAATAGAGTGCAGAAAAGGCTGCTTGTACTTAATGCCATCATCTGACACCCAACTCATTATCTAGCATGTCAGTTCAGAAGCCAATTTCTTATTAATTTCAGCCCTCTCTGCTAATTTAGGATTATTGAAAATTGCTTCCAGCATTCAGGCACATTTGGGATGCATTCCTGATTTATTCTAAAGGACCAAGTGTCAGACAAAAGAATGTGCTTCAGTTATAGTGGCTATAATAATTAAGCAAAATTAATAATCCATTAAAATGATGCTATATAAATATTTGAAACCAGATAAATTAATACTGAATTAACCACTTAATGATAATAATCTTATGTAATAGAATTATACTTCTGTAACTTTAAGAAATTTAAAAACTGGGGTGGGGGAGTGAAACAGATTTGGATACTGTTAGTAATTTTGTCTTGGATTTATTCTCTAAATGTGCCACCATTTCTCTTACTCAGGCAATATGGGACCTACTGCTTTGGCTTTAATCTTTATCCAAATGTGTTGGCTAGAGATCAAAGCTTTGCAGGCAAATATATAACTAAATGAAATGCCATGTGCAACATATACACATACACATCCATCATATTATTCCTTTCAGGATAAGCAATGTTATGCAAAGAGCAAAAATAGAGTAATAGTAAACCAAATAAATTAAAGGCATCTGATAATAAAAGGAAACATAGCTAAAGTTACTTTTCACCTATACCATTAACTGAATCTTTCTGCCATTGCAAATAGCTTTGCCCACCACATCCATACACTGTTTCACTTTTTCTTTTCTTTTATAAACTTCTCACTTTTCTTTTCAAAGATCCTTTAATGCCATCCAACCATAACATTCTTCATTTCATCTTCCTTCCAACACATTAACTGTTACTTGATATATTTGTATATCACTGTGTATTTACAATGGTCCCGAAAATGTAGATTGACAATTAGTTTTCAAACTTCTGGCCAGTACAATGGGGACCTTGCCCTGGTAGTCACATGATCACAATTTGGGCTCTTGACAATCGGTATGCATTTACAATCACAACATCCCATGTTACATGATCATTATTTATCACCTTCACAGTTGGCTTCCAACAAAGGAAGTCAATGGAAAACTGACACTAACCCTCAAATTGTGGTTATATGATGTCATGCTTAAGAACTGAAGGTAATTCATAGTAAGTCAGGCATGTTTCATCTAATGACAACATCACTTAACAAAAGTTGCCAGTGTAAATTTCAATAATTACATGAGCAGTAACTATATTTTTTCCCTCTGAATCGTATTTGTTCAAACTTTGCATATTTTTTCTCAAAGTCATATCCGGTTCTTCTATTATTTCAATGAAACTGTCACCAATGTATGAATTCATACTTTCATGCATGCCCAAGATAACCTAGTTGCCACCAGTTCATACTTTATGGCATGAGTTTTAGTCTTTTCATATGTGAATGTCAACTTCACTTCTCTCCATGAATTCATTGTCCAATTCTATAATTTGAAGACATCTTCATTCAGATCTATTACTTCCCTTTTCCTTTTCTTACTTTCATATATGCACAGCATTATATATTTTTCTTTCATTCCATTCATTAATTCATATTTTTTGTAATGTACTCCTCTTACCCTGAAAGTTGCAACCTTTCATACGCTGACTTGCAGATCATAATCTTCATCTCCTATCAAGATTTAGCCAGTATGACTTTACTATGTTAGAGTAAAGCTTTAGTCATAGCTCTGCTACAAACAAAATTCCCAAAAAATGGTAAGGAATATTCCAGTCCACTTTTAAACATTTAGGCTAGCATGCCACAAATGCAATCAGTTTTAATCCATGTGTGCTTGTTATTCTACTGTATGTAAACTAGCTTCTCTATTTGAGAGATTAAACTATAGGTCAACAGATTGTTTCTCATATTTTCACCTTAGAGAATTATATAGCTATATAAAGATTTAAACTTTTTGAAATTCAGCAGGACGGATATGAGATAGTGGAGCTCCGCGGAGCTTCACAAAACCCAGCCGATATCTGCTTGCCCGGAGACTTTACGGGACCAAAGCCACCCTGAAGGGGTGGTGAAGAAAGGAGGGACATTTTGTAGATCACGAGGAAACAGTAATTTCCTTGCTTGATCCAAAGAAACTCTTCTGATTGGCAGCAGAGACAACAGCCATTTTGGCAAGACCAAAGCTGTGACAATCGGGACAAGAACATTATGAGCTGGAGCAGTGTGTGAACAGAGGACTGAAACTGGGTGAGACAACTTTCAACCTGTATATTAGAGATTTAAACCCAAATAAAAGAATTCTTTTTTTAAAAAAGACTCCAAAACGCTAAGAAAGCAGTGATTTAACACACGGAGAAAGATTACAGACCCAAATGTGAAACAAACTTTTAATGGAAGACGATGAAGCTTTAAAATATAGAAACCCTGGAACTTGTCATAGTCGGAAAAGTTCTTGGGGGGGGAGAAACTATCCCCCTCAGAACGGGCTTGCAATTTGGGTGTCCTCCTAGACTCACAGCTAAGATTAGAGCAACATCTGTCAATTGTGGCTAGGGGGACCTTTGCACAGGTTCGCCTGGTGCACCAATTGCAACCCTACTTGGATCAGGAGGCTCTCCTCACAGTCACTCATGCCCTTGTCACCTCACGGTTAGATTATTGCAATGCGCTTTACATGGGGCTACCCTTGAAAAGTGTTTGGAGACCACAGTTGGTCCAGAACGCAGCCGCGCGAGCTGTCGTGGGTGCACCTAGGTAGACCCACATTACACCAATTCTCCACGAGCTGCACTGGCTCCCTATTGGTCTCTGGTCACAATTCAAGGTGTTGGTTATTACCTTTAAAGCCCTACATGGCTCAGGGCCAGGTTATCTTCGAGACCGCCTTCTACCGCATAGCTCCCAGCGACCAGAAAGATCCCACAG